ATTCTGTTTGCTGCTTTAGGTTTGTGCTCTCATACTAGAAGTTTTAACGAATCCTGTGATCTCTTTAAAATATTATACACATAGTACATTTGTAATTCTGTGCATTCATTATTGAGAATATTCCTGACAGGAGAGAACTTCTGTTTAGACTTGATGTCAGTTGAGAACTGAATTCTCTGCTTACAGTTTTACACATCTGCTGTTTGGAAGAATTTACCACAGACTATTTCTGGCTCTGTACATTTCCAACCTTGTTTCTCCTCACCTGTTCACACAGATCCCGTGATGGGTGCTGTGGGACCTGTTCATATTCAGATATAACCTCTAGCCCTGCACCTCACTGACATGATGCCAGGTGAATTGACACAGTGGGCAACTTCTAGAAGCAAGTCCTACCTTAAGTCACAGATGTGACTACATACCTCATAAATATATCTCCTAATCAACAAGCAACAAAAATATGTCTACCCAATTTACCCAAAGAATTTGAAATCAACAATTCAAAGAGATTTATGCACCCCTATGTTCATTTCAGCATTATTCACAATAGCTAAGACATGGAAGCCACTCAAGTGCCCATCAACTGATGAATGGCTAAAGAAGATGTGGTATATGTACACAATGGATTACTACTTAGCCATAAAAAAGGACAACGTTGTCCCATGTGCAACAACATGGATGGAACTCGAGGGTATTATGTTAAACAAAATAAGCCAGACAGAGAAAAACAAACACAATACAATTTCGCTCATAAATGTGGAGGATAAACAAATACACGGACAAAGAGAACAGATTAGTGGTTACCAGAGGTGAAGAGGCTTGGGAGCTGGCATAAGGGGTAAAGGGCACATATGTATGGTAACTGACAAATAATAATGTACAACTGAAATTTCACAATGTTGTAAACTATCATGACCTCAATAACATAAAATAAAAAGCCAGAAAAAAAATACCCAAACTAAACATATCTCTGACTCTACTTCCCTTCACCTACATCCCCCAATTCCCATAGCTGCACAGACATCATCATACAAGAGGGTCTAGCATTAGGATTCCAGTGGAAGGAGACAGCAGTCTTAAAGGGGCGAGGTCAACATAGTTTCCTTTGAAAATATTATAAAGCTGTATGGTCATAGGAATGCACTGCTAAGGCCATCTCTGGTCCTTGGAAGGGGCCCAAGCAAATGAGGGCACTGAAGCATAAGCCTCATGGTAAGTCTACCTCTAAATCAATGATATATGAAACCAAGTGACAAACAATGACTTCATTGGCCTTTTCCACGTGTATCACAGCATAATATCAAGTATAGATTACTGATAGTTATAATTCAAATTTGATCAAGGATAGGGTGTGAAGTCAAGTAGATACAACAAAAAGATGTTTAACCAGGAAAATAGGATGACATAGCTGGAATTCTAACGGAGATGTAGGGAGCATCAGACGCAAGAAATGGGAGTAAGAAGACAACGATCAGAGTCCAGGATCACTGGGTGAAACCACAGAAGTAGCTATCTCTAGAAACACCTTCTCCACTGAACACTGGTTTCCTGATAACACTTGGGTATTATAAACTCACACAATCAAAGACATTCAATATAAGAACCTGTCCATTCCAGGAGTATTAAAGATGTGCTAGTGTTAGTCTAAACTGTTAAACAATGACATAAACCTCTAATTACTTTGGTTTGGTTGACACTCCAATAGCTTTACCAGTAATTCTTCCAAATGAGTTATTTCATCAATGTGTAATCCAGCTGAGGAGATGCTGTGTCATTAGTGCTTGAATGGGGCTTCACCTAATGGCACTGACTTAAGTATTTCTAAACAGACTTTTCTGAGCTTGGAAGTTTACAGTCACTTGGGAGGGAAGGAGAATAAGAGACAATATTTTTATTAACAAAAAATGAACAATTTACCTTCCCCCACCCTCGCCCACCCCCCTCCCCCAAAAAACAACACTTCACATTTCCAGAAAACTATTACTGTACCCCTTTTGGTTCCACCTCAACTCTGGGAAAGATGTACCAGTACTAAAGGTTAGATTAGAGGTCCAATACTTAGCATAGGTAATCTAAATGCTATTCTCATTGAAATCTCTCTTTCCTGGGAAAACTACAAAATTCATAGAGCTCGGGTAGGAGTCACATAGCAAACTGAACTACACCTTCCAAAATAACATTGCCCAAAGGGCCATCTGCATTGGAATTCTCAAGGGTGCCTATTTAAAATGCAGAATCATGGGTTCACAAAGAGACTTAAGGAACTGGAATCTCTGTATGGGGTTCCCACAAATATGTGTGGCTGACCAGCAACCCAGGGGATTCTTATGACCATTGTGCTAACTCCTGAAAGTGATAGAAGCTCTTATTAAGGAGCAGGAATGGATTTAAGGCAGGGTTCTTAGGTACCATGAAGACAGCACAAGGAACTGCCTCAAGTCGCAGTCTAGAGTCCCCAGGAATTGCAAATTGAGGATGCCTGCACATTTTAATTCTCCCTTTCCTCCTCTCTGAGTTATCCTTCCTGAAGATGAATGCCTTACTTATTAGAACACCACTTCAACTTTGCTGCTTCCTATAACTGCTCCCTCGCCTTCTCTTCTCTTGTTGTTTTGGCTGATGCAAATTCACTTTTGGTGTTTCCATGGCTTTTCTGTTCATTGTGGACTCACAGAACTGAATGAGATCTCAAACTCAACCAACGCTTTAATTTCCTCTGCAATATTCCTGAAGCGTTCCATCTAACTTTAGCTTGATCAGCTCCATTGAAAGGGAGCTCTGGGGCTGCCTGTTCCATTTTTAGATACCACTAATCATTAGAACCATCTTCCTTATCACAAATCAAAATATGTCTCTCTATAATTAGCAACATTGGTCATAGTTCTGCCTTCTGGAAATATACTTCTGGCAATTGCATTCCCCTTCCACGTGACAGCTTTGGCTACATTCTTACTGATGAGTATTTAGCTTTGAATGTTTTGTAATGTATCTAGGATGAAGTTATTCTATGAATGTGAAATGGGAATTAACAGTTTCAGTGCCATTCCTAGGATAATACCTTCATAGTCACACACTATTAGATAAAAACTCCCAAATTGTTCTCAGAAAAATAACCCGTATCTAGAATAAATCAGCCAGAAGCCTGTGGAAACTTGTCTTTTTGTTTATGTGTTGGTTTCACTACTGGTTCTCAAATCCTCCCCCATCTCCCACTCCCCTGCCATGACTGCAGGGAACACTTGGCAATGTCTAGAGACACTGAGACTTGTCACACTTGGGAGAGGGGTGCTACTGCCATTTAGGGGATAGATGGCAAAGACACCACTAAACATCCTACAATGCCCAGCACAATCCCCACCCTCACTCCTCCATCCCCACAAGAAAGGATCATCCAGACCAAAAGGTCGGGTATTGATGTTTAGAAACTTTTGTTAGGGAAACTTCAAAGAAGTCAACATAGAAAAATATATGCAATGATTACTTGCTACTCATTCTTTCTTGGGATTCTTTTCAAAAGAGCTGAAATTTTCATAGTCTGTGTCATCTTGCACATGGAAAATTGTTAAATGTGTTTTTTACAAGTTAGGATCATCACCGACAATGTTATCAGTCACTTAGAAATTTATCTTGGTGGAAAAGGGAAAAATGTTGACTATTTGGACATATTTCTTTGAGTGTTTTGCCTACATATAGCCTCTAACTGGCCTGAGAGAATCAATCCCCTCCTCTTCAAAAATAAAACAAATGTCAGCACATGAGAGCTTGGCTTTGAGATGAGATATTCCAAACCAGCCATCTATAAACACTTTATCCTTAATTCCAGTCCAATAAAAAAATTAATGTAAACATGTTCAAATTACATTCATATTAACTAAAGGTGAAGCCAAAGGTATTTAAAAAAATTATTTTTCTTTTGCATTTTATAATTGTTACTGAGCCAGGTTCGTTTTTGCCTTCCCCCTGGAAAGCCAAACACCAAGACCATAAGATTGCAGCAGAGAGAGGATTTAATCACAAGGCAGCCATGTGAGGAAACAAGAGCATGAGTCTCAAATCTGCTGCCCTGAAAATAGGGACTTAGGGATATTTATAGGATAGGGGACAAGGTGGACTGAAATATGAAGATGGGTGATTGGAGGTGAGGAGAGGTGAGGTAATTGATGATATGTGCAAGCATAGTCAGACTCCATCCCTCTTCATAGGATGCATGCTCACAAAGTAGCAGTGTGAGCATCATCTGAGGGTGCAGTTTTTAGCCTATTGACAACAAAAGGTCACCTTTGGGACATTTGCATAGGCCCAGATGATGAGTTAGTGGTCTCAACCAGCCTGGAGTGGAGAAAGGGGTTCTAATTCCTGAAATACAGCTCAAAAACCCATTACCATGGTGACCCAGGCTCCAGGGAGATGTTATCTATAGGAAGCTAGTGGGAGTCAGATAGCACATTGCCTAAACAGCACAGTTAACAATGGGTGGGTTAAACATCTAAAAGCTATAATCAGTCATTGCAAAAATGGACAAAACCTTTAGTTCCTAGCTACTTAATCATCAATGGCTAACTCTGCCAGTTTCAATCCCTCCTATTCTCCGGTATTCTTCATTCTTGAGGTATTTGGAGCAATGACCAATCTAGCTACTTCCTGCTAAATTGGGACATAGATCTGGGTTTGAGGAATGAAACTGTTTAGCATTCATTTGGAAATATTCTCTTATTCCCAGCTTCACGTTGACATTTTTGTATTAGAATTCTGTATCTTGTCAACTGTTTGGGAACATCTAAAAGAATATTTTATAATCAAGTGTCCAACCAGAAGGATAAGAAGTACAGACAATCCAAATGTTAACAGTCCCTGAAAAATAGACCTAATCCCAGTGGGGCCTCCATCTGATCTCCAGTTGCGGGCAGACATTTGAGTCTCAGTTCCTGATAGTCTTTTGTTTTACTGGATATGAGGAGAGCAGAGCAATGCCTTATACCCTGATCTTTCAGTTGTCATTAATGATGGCTATCAGCACAGACTCTCTACCTCGGGGTCATCACATTCCTAAGGCACTCAGAAGAACAAAGTTTTCAACTTACACCAGCTGAGAGGGTCTATAAAATCTACAGAGCATGTCTGGTTTAGTTAATCACAGGTCATTCAAACTTACAATATGGTTTCTTTTCTACAATATGGCTTCCTGTATGTCAACCTTGTGTTGAGCCAGTATCACAATCACTCATGAAGTATTTAATGTCTGCTAGGCACTGGGTCAGATGCTGGTGATATGAAGATAGAGAAGACATGATCTCTCACTTTGACAAAAAGTCTGATGAGGAAGACAAAAATACAAACCATTTACTCAGAGCTGATGGCATTCCTTCTGATTCCGCTAAAAAAATGAAAGAATCAGAAGAGTCCTTTTTCATTTTCCTGCCATTGCATCTTCCAACCCACTAGCATCTGTAACTATGTATGTTCTGCCTCCACACTGACTCAGTGAATTACCTGCCCATGATCTGTATGGGCCAACTTCTCTCACATACTGGGTCCCATCTCTGCCTACTCAAGGACTTTTCTCATGCAATTATCTCTTTTCTCTTCTCCCTTATCACATCGTCATTTCCCCCTCTCTTCTGTATAATTAATATCATCATAAAAGCACATAATATCACTCCCAGCCTGCCCCCAACCTCATCTCTATCCCTATCCCTTTCCACTCTCCTTTCACTCTCTTATCTCAAATTCTCAGCATCATTTGATACATTTCATCACTCCCTCCTTTCCTAAATCTTTTTTTAAGCTTGGAATTTGGTACACCATGTTCTGATTTTTTTCTTATCCACATGGCTGCTACTTCTTAGTCACCTTTGCTGGATCCTCTTCATCTCCCCAACCTTAAAATGCTATAGCATCCCTTTCTCTTAGGTGATTCCATCCATCCCAATGGCCTTCAACACATTCTATATACTGATGATTCCCAAATTTATCTCTCCAGAATGAACTTCTCCTCTGAATCTTCATACTTGTTCTAGGATGTCTAATCAGTATTTCAATCTTAACACATCCAAAACCGAGCCCTTGATTCTCTTCCCTACCCTTTGCCAAACATTCCTCCTGCAGAGATCCCTATCACAGCAGTTATTGTCATAAAGCATCCAATTTCTCAGGTAAAAAACTGGGCACCACCCCTGATTCCTCCTTATTCCTCATAATTTTTCTTCCAATCCATCAAACAAATCCTGTTAGAACTACATTCCAATAATATTCATATCTTGCTCCAACCTAATCTCCATCTTTCTCCCAGATTCATCACCTGGTGCCCCAAAAAATCTTCTGCTTCTGCTCTGGTAAATCAACAGTCAGTTCTCCCCATGGTGGCCAGAGTCAATCTTTTGAAAATGGAAATTATGTCATATCACTCAGCTCCTGGACACCCTGCAATAGTTTTCCAATTCAGAATAACATCCTAAATCCTTACTGAAGCCTATTAGAGCCCACCTTATCTGGCTCTGGGTATCATCTTACTCCCATTTCCTGACATTTTTCTCCTTGCTCATGACACTTTATTGGCCTCTTTGCAAGTTTCAAACACTCTCCTACCTCAGCATCTTCATACTCACTATTAACTACTTCCTGAAACAATTTTCCCCAGGTAATCACATGGCTTATTTCCTTACTTTATTAGACCCTGCTCAAATGTCACTTCCTAAGAGACAATCCTCTCTAATAATAACACCCCTTCTCTAGCCCCATACTCTGCTATAATCTTCCCACCATTTGTCACTACTGATATATTATAACTTACATGTGTATTTCCTGTTTATCCCACTATTATACAAATTCCATAACCACAGGTTTTTGTTTTGTTCTCAGCTCTATTCCTAGTGTCAAGAATTGTGCTTGGAAGATCATAGGCCCTCAATAAATATTTACTTGACTGAATGAACTAGTCTCCATATTCAGCCTGATATTGCCTAGAACATATAATCTTAACTTTTGCAAACTTTTCTAATTTCATTTACCAACCTTATAATTTTGAAAGCAGTATACCTACGTTGTTTATCATTAACTGAAAACAAGCCTTCATTTATAATACCTCTTAAATTTGGGCACATCTTACTCTGAACTGGGATCAGACAACATGATGCAGTAAATACAGTACCACAGCACAATCAAGTACAAATAATCAATTAAAATAAATATCAACACATTTAAAATAATCTAATTTTTATTATTTTAAATAGTAAGGAAGAACATATTTACAAGAGTTTGCACGCTTTTTGGATAAAATAGAATGACCTCTAGATGTCGTCTTAGAGATGGAAGAAATTTGAGCTCTTCAAAGAGAATTACAGTATATCTAAGGGCTTTGAGCAACATTTGATACAAGAAGCAATACCTGTGTCTTTCCTGAATTAGGTTTTGATGCATTCCCTGACATCTAGGATTTGAAGTTATACAACTTGACAACACTGGAACTTCACTTTGTCAATAGTAAGTGGAAACATATATTTGAGAATCATCCTAATAATTGTGCAACCTAAAAAAATGTCTGAATAATGTTAGTGAGTCATAACATGCAGAGATAAATAGACTGATGCTCCCACTCTTCCTATGTAGACTTAGATTAACCATTAAACTTCCAGAAGCACTAAAAATGAGGAGCAAAGAGCAGCTTGCCTCAATCATGTTGAGAATAAAGATTCTGACTCTTCTTATTTGGCATTAGAAAGGTAACTAAATGTCTGCTAATATGATATTTAAGCACTGGATTGGGAGGGAAGAGGCCTGGCTCCTAGTCTTTGCTCATCCACTGAGTAGTTGTGTGGCCTTGAGCCTCAATTTCTTCATTTTTCTCATTAATTAATAAAAAGGGGGGTGAGATAAAATAATTCTACTTCGTATCTTCTACTTGGGGCCAATTTTCAATATAAGCCACAAAGCTACTTATTGGAAGAGCTGAGATTTGAACTGGTATCAATCAGGATAGACAAGATTATGCTGGGATAACAAACAACCTCCAAGTCACAATGGGTTAAGACAATAAAGTTTATTTCTAACTCATGCTACATATCAGCAGGCATGCAGTGCTCCTGCTGATCAATCAGGGACCAAGTTAATGGAGTTACCATCTTGACATGTTTTCACAATCACTGAGGCAGGCAGAAGGGAAGATGACACTGGAAGCTTCTGAACAGAAGTAACACATATCATCTCCTGACATTTCATTGGTCAAAGTCACACTGATGTAGTTAGCTGCAAATGGACTGAGGAAGAAGAACCAGAGTATTTTTTAGTAGCTCTAATGACTACCACAGAACTTGGTCAAGAGACCCTACTGTTTACTTGTGTTTTAGAGGTGAGCTTGTTAGTAGTTGATGGTGTGCATCAGATCAGTAAGTGTCTATCCATTTCTCTAGAAAGTTTACTGGAGAAAAGAGGAAAGATAGATATACATAAACAGATTATATTGAATGTAAGGACATTTTTTGTGCCTTCTACTTGGACACATGATATAAAATATATTCATGGCATAATAATGTATATATTATACATGATCTTATAATGGATTTTTAATTGAGCAGATTTATTGTAACAGGAAATTTAAACTTGTAAATAATGTCATGTGAAACATTTTTTAATCTTTCTATCATAGATAATAACCATTAATCAAAACAAAAAGTAAACAGCAAAATGATAATGTAGCATTTTAATTTTTCAAAAGTAGATGATAGTACATTCTGTACTAATAATCAAAAGCACAGAAATATCTACAGTGAAAAGCACATCATTCTCATCTTTTGTCCCCCAGTCATCCAGTTCTTATTCTACAAAACAACCACTGTTTTTAGTATGTGGTCTTCAGAATTTATTGTTTTTTATTTCACAGATTTGTGTGTGGGGGGCTGAATTTACCAATCTTTTATGGGTTCTGTTTTTTGTTGTGTCATTCCTAAACAGGTATTCTGATTGCCCAAAATATCCCCCAAAATATTCCATGTTTTTTCTAGTACTTTCATAGTTTTATCTTCATTCTTACATATATAAAGCACATCTAGAATTTATTTATTTATTTATTTTCCAAATAGAGGATTTTTTCTTTTTGGGGGGTGAGGGGGGTGAAGAAGATTGGCCCTGAGCTAACATCTGTTACCAAACTTCCTCTTTCTTTTTTCTCCCCAAAGCCCCAGTCCATAGTTATATACCCTAGTTGTAAGTCCTTCTAGTTCCTCTATGTGGGATGCCACCACAGCATGGCTTGATGAACAGTGTGTAGGTCTGCGTGCCCAGGATCCAAACTGGTGAACTCCAGGTTGCTGAAGCAGAACACGTGAACTTAACCACTATGCCACTGGGCTGGCCCCCAGAATTTACTTTTGAGTAAGGAAGTGAGATCAGAATACAAACTTGTTTTCTTGGAGTTAGGTACCCAATCGTCCCAGTATTAATTATTGCAAAATTCATTACCCTCCACAGATTAGAAATGACATTTTCATTATATACTAGATTCCTGTGTGTATTTAGGTCTTCTTTTGTTTTCAAATCTGTCTCATGAGCAATATTTTAAATTCAGCATTTATTACATTGTGATACAATTTCAAAGAAACAATATTTTTTACTTAAAAAATCTATGAGGGAAAGCACTTCTCAGAATGGTGGAGAAAGGACCTCCAAAAACCTACTTTTCCATAAAATCAATTAGAACAATAGAGAAAAACCTCAAAATCAATTCTTTCAAAACCAGGAAAATTAACCAAGAGTTGGCAACAATCCAGGGAGAATACCCTCAAGAAAGTTGGCTGAATCTTGATAAAAACAGTGAGATTTGTGGTATTTTAACATGCCCTATTCTCGCCCATTGTTACCACCTCTGTGATATCCTTGAAAAATGAAAAGATTTATAATGTACTGTGAAAACCATCAGCCGAGTAGCCACTTGGTGGGGCAGAATGGATTTGGAGCTTCCCAAGAAGTCTTGTTTCCAGAGAATTGTTGTTAGTTGACCCGTCTGGCAGCTCCCTGAAAACCACAACTCACAAAAGTTGTGTTTATTTGACCTGATTCAGTGAGAACAGTCCTTTCTTTGGGAGTATTTGTCTAAAATAATTAGAGGCAACTATACAACACTGCAACTATGTGAGGCAGTAAAAAAAGCTGGGGTAAACAAAAGGCTAACCAAAAAACATAAAAGGAAAAACTAGGAATGAGATGTCCATATGGGGCTTTGAAAAGCTCTGATATGTTCCTGGGACTTCAGAAGGCCACACACATGTGCAGAGCTGTGCCCAGGAAAGACTCCACTCATGGCTGTGTACATGATGAGGAAAGACTCAAAAAGGTCCTAGGATCTCATGTATGGCTCTGCACAATCAGGAAGCAAACGCTAAGGAATACTGCAAACTGCAACAGCATTTAGGTATGCCCCAACATGCACACAAAGCCCCTTTGCAAAGACTGGGAGACTTACTGATTCAGTACATTAAAGAAAATCTCTATATAATCATCCACTGACCACTGACCTAACTAAACTTTTGACTTCAGTGGCTACACATGACAAAGACTATATAATTAGTTCAGGACAAATAAAGAGAAAAACCTCAAACACTAGTGAAGCAGGGAGCGTGGAATCTGATTTCCAGAGTAACTACACATACAATTTAAGATGTCTAGTTTTCAACAAAAATCCTGAGACATGCAATGAAACAATAAAGTATGTCCTGTACACAAGGGAAGAAGTTAATAGACACTTTCCCTAAGAAAACTCAGATGTTAGACTTAACAGACAAAGACATTAAATCAGCTATTATAAAATGTTCAAACAACTAAAGGAGACTATGTTTAAAGAATGAATAAAAGTATGAGAAAGACATATCACCAAATAGAAAAAAACAATAAAGAGATGCAAATTTAAAAAAAAGGGACAGAAGAGATATAGTAGAGTTGAAAGATACAATAATTGAAATGAAAAATGTACTAGAAGGCATCAACAACAGATACGAGCTGGAAGAAGAAAGAATCAGAAAACTTGAAGATAGGTCAATTGAGAATATCTAGTCTGAGGTGCAGAAAGAAAAAAGCTAGAAAAAATGAATAGAGGGGCCGGCCAAGTGGCACAGTGGTTAAGTGTGCATGTTCCGCTTCTCAGCGGCCCGGGGTTCACAGGTTTGGATCCCGGGTGCGGACACAGCACTGCTTCGCATGCCATGCTGTGGTAGGCATCCCACATATAAAGTAGAGGAAGATGGGCACGATGTTAGCTCAGGGCCAGGCTTCCTCGGCAAAAAGAGGAGGATTGGCAGTAGTTAGCTCAGCGCTAATCTTCCTCAAAAAAAAAAAAAAAGAAAAAGAAAAAATGAATAGAAACTCAGATTCGTGGGGCAACTATGCAAAATGGGAGTCTCAAAGGAGAGGAAATAGAGAAAGGGACAGAAAGAATACTTGAAGAAATAATGACATAAAACTTCTCAAACTTGATGAAAAATATTAATCTACATATTCAAGAAGCTCAGTGAACTCCAAGTAGGAAAAACTCAAAGAGATCCACACCTAGACATATCATAAACTTTTGAAAGCTAAGGACAAAGAGAAAATCTTGAAGGCAGCAAGAGAGACATGAATAATCATGTACAAGGGACTCCCAGTAAAATTAACAGATGATTTATCATCTTAAATTTTCGAGTCCAGAAAGCAGTGAGATGATATTTTCAAAGTGCTGAAACCAAGAATTCTATATCCAGCAAAACTATCCTTCAAAAATAAAGTTAAGGTATTCATGGGTAAAGAAAAACTGAGAGAATTCATTACTAGCAGACCTGTCCCACAAGAAATAAATTTGTAATGAACAAAGTTGTAATGTACAAAAAATTATACTGTGTAATGATTATAGTAATAGCAAAAAGGAGTAAGAAGATAAAATACACATATTGGAGCAAAGTTTCTGCATATCATTGAAATTAGCAGGTATTAATTTGAACTAGATTATAGTTAACATGTTAATTGTAATTCCCAGGGCAACTACTAAGAAAACAACAAAAAATATGTTAAAGGAAATGAGGGGGAGAGGATCTTGTCAAGATGGCGCTCAGAGCAGATGTTGAACTTGCCTCCTCCCATGAACACAACCAGGTTACAACAATTTTGGGAAGAATCACCCTGGACTGAAAACTGAAAACTGGATAAAAAGAACCCCCATGACAAGGGACAGTCCTGATGAAAGCAGAAGAGGCAGTAACTCCGGCTGGAGAGGAAAAAACCACCTTTCAGAGCAGCGGAGCTTCTCAGCTGGTCAGGTGGGAGCCACCCTAACGTATGAGCCTTCTCTGGAGGACTGAGGTCTGGAGCAGGGATGATACTGCTATAACCATCCTTCGGACTCAGCCCAACTGAGATGGGGGTCTTACTGTCTGGCTTTGCTGGCTATTAACTGCAGTGAGGAAACCCCCAGAAAAGCTATCAGCCTAAAGCCGAAAAGATTCACATCTTAAAGGGCCCACGCACAAACTCACTCATTGCAGCAACCTAAAATCACCAGAGAGAAGGCTGACTGTCCTTTGGTGGAACAAGACACACCTGGTGGGCTTGGGGGCATCTTGGTGAGAGGAGGGTCCTCTCCGGAGGCTGAGACATTGGTGGGGGCCGTTGTTCTGAGCTGGTCCAGGCATGCTGATACAGACACCAGTGGGGGCCATTGAGGTGCATCCCTTGGGCTGTTAGCCCAGGGGTCTGCCACACCCACTAGAGCACAGATTTAATCCAGTTCAGCCAGGACAGGCAACCCGCCCTAGGGACTGGCCCCACCTAACAGCAAGCCCTCAGGCTACTTTTCAGCCTGCATTGACTGAGTGCCTTGATCCTCTACAGGCAGACAAGAGTGTCTGCCTCTGTGGGGCAGGGCCTGTGTGAGGACCAGGTGAACTGTGGAGGGCATTGGGGCAGAGGTGGGGGACTCTGCAGTGTGGCATTGGGGTACGCTCCAGGCGGTTGAGAAGTGTGCATGGACCAGGACTGTGTTGACAGTGCATGTGGTCCAGTGGGGGGTGAGGCTTATCAAAGGCAGAAGACTTGCACTTCACAAATAGCCATAAAAAGGATCAGCCCCACCTTCCAAAGCCTGAAACAATTGAGTGCCCCCATGCCAAGGGCTAGCCCCACTCAGCTGCACTCCTAAGAGAACTGACAACAGCCTTGTTGGCCTCAGGCCCATCACAACCATACACTCCTGAGCCTAGCAACCAGCTACACTGGGTACCAACCCAATTAGGAGGAC